CTGGTCATGTTTTACATCTATTGTTATCCAATAGTAAATAAAATGTATAAAAGTTTTGAATTGTGTGTTCATTCTTATTTGATGCAAATAAGCACAATGACACAACAGTTTCCCAGTGAATGAATGAATGGGTACAAAGACATATTAAAGTAAATATGGACTGATCAGAGTTTGTTCAGTTCAGAGTGCAGGTCAGTGAAAATTCTTAGTCCTATAGACAAAAAAAAAAAAAAAAACTTACAAAGTTACTTTCTAAGAACATCAAATGTACAAGTAAAAAATATTAGCAACATCAAAAAGAAAGGTGATAACCTTTCAGATACTATATATATATATATATATATATATATATATATATACACACACACACAGAGGATGTGATGGGTAAATTGTTGCTATTTTATATTTTTAATTTCATGCATGCGCATTGTTTAGTTTAGATTTTATCGATTGCACAGTATAGTGGGGGACAGTTGGGCACCATGACACAATTCATTCTATCAGAAATTTGGGAATGACATGCTGTACTGCTTGGCATTTACACCAGAAGCTCCAATACAAACATTTCCGAGTGTTTGGGTGTCAATCTGAGGACAGTACAGAGGATTTAGAAAGAGTCGGATGAGTCTAATGGTGATTATAAAGGTATAGCAGCTCTGAAAACTTAGTCTGATTGTTCTGATGAGAAAATAGCTGACAAATTTGTTGGTGAGGGCCTCAGATTCAACACAAAGGCATACATCAAGTGGAGGTAGTGCTGCTCTAGTTCAAGAGGGTGGATGATGAAAGACCTTATGTCTGGCAACAGGGCTCTGCACCATGCCACACAAGCATGGCCGACAGACAATTTCTGCAACCACATCACCCCATACATCTGGCCACATAACTCTTCACACTGCAACCTCCTTGATTATTGTATGTGAGGTGCAGTTGAGCAAGTTACCAACAGAACTCCTTGAAGGAGACTGTCCAGATGAGTTACAGTTTATTCCAAAGTCATCTGGACGCCATGATTGAAGCCAAAGGCGATTTTTGTTTAATTTTAGTAAATATATCTGTTAAAATGAGATGCCAGTGTTATTTTCATTTTTGCATAATTGAGACGACGATTTACCCATCACACCCTGTATATTACTAAAAATCTAATCTTGTGTGTGTTCCCAAGATACAGCTTAAATGATACATAATAACAGAACCAATTTAGAAACATATTAGCTGCACTGCTGTATCAGATTGTGTTTGCAGACTGAAGGCAGCCAAGTCATCCAGCCTCTGCTGTTGTTTATCATCATGAAGTTGAGACAGTATTCGTGGCACCACAAACTATGGATTGAGGAAGACTGAGACCTGCTTGTATGCCTGACCACGAAGAACATATTCTATCAGGCTGTCGAAAACAATCAAGATATCAGCACATAGAAAATGGTCTTAGCATATCATACATCTCATAATACCGCTCGGATGATACTTCAAGAGCAGCTCCTGTATCCGTATCATTTGCAATTTCTTTTGCCCTCTGATCACTCACCACGGGAGAACTTGATAATTTATTGCACAAACTATTGATTCGTTGTTTGTCTCTTCAGTCTTGTTTATGAATAAGGCAACATTTGGAAAAGAGAGAGAATAACAAATTTACACCACCAACATTTTTGAACAGATTGGAATCCCCAAGGTACAATGCAGGCTAAACACCAGCATCAGTTTAAAATTAATGTGTAGGCTGGAATTGTAGGTGACTGATTCGTTTATGTTATGCCAGCACGTCGTACAGGAGACGTCTACAAGGACTTCATTTTGAACACACTTCCAGACCTGCCAGAGGATGTACTCCTGCTAATACGAAGATGCATGTGGTTCATGTATGATGGAGGCTACAGCACATTTTAGTTACATTGTTTGCAAATGCACTGGCTGACATTTACCATTGAAAAATGGATAGGTAGGGGAGTACCAGTTTCATAGACTGCACATTCCCCCAACCTCAATCCTTTGGATTTTTATCTGTGGGGCTACCTAAAACAATTGGTTTATGCAGCAGACATTAATAATACAGAGACACTTCACCAATGTGTCATGGTGGCATGTGAAACCATTCAACACTGTGTGGGAGTTATTTGAAAGGGTCCACCAATCAATGATTTGACAGGTGCACGCTTGTGTAGAAGCAAGTGTAGATCATTTTGAACATTTTTCATGAGTTGTTGTGTCGAGGTCCAATAATAACCTTTTTGGACATATTTATATGAACATTTTACTTTTTTTTGGTGTTAGGAACTTGCCTTATATATATATATATATATATATATATATATATATATAAAAGATTCTTGAACATTTGTCTAGAAAAAGAAAAAAAAGGATTCTACATCCTTTTAAATACACTTCAAGATAATTCAATGTATATACTCATATTAGAATACCTTGATAGAACAGTGATTAAAAAAAAACCCAAGCACTGAGAATATATTCAAATCATCATCTTGGTTATGAGACTCAATGTTTCAGATGTTGTACCTTCCAGCTTTCTTCAGGAGCCTGCCATCATGCTTAGTAAACATTTTGCAATTTTGGATCAAACACATTATTGAATTCACTAAGGCAAATTGTTCTTATTTTATTTTTCCTGTTCAGGGGAGATAACTTGTATCAGTTAATATTTACCAATCTTATTCGTCTTTGCGTTGCCTGTCTGCTACTTCCACCAATCCAGAATATGCGGCTTTTCAACACAGACTCAGGGAAAATTGCTAAGGAATCAGATAGGTTTCTAAGCAGCACTTTAACCCACTAGACCATGTCTGTCACGGACAGCAGAATAAACAGACATGCAATAAAAAGGTGATTAAGACTGGTGAGTATTAATCAATATGAAATATTCTCTAAAATAGGAAAGCAGAATGAAAACAAATTAACCTCATGGACTGAGAAAAAGGTGAAGTTCAAAATTCCCAGTGAGACATGTGAAAGATGTAGGCTACAAGGGCTGAACATAACTACCAAGATGAGTGTGTTAACATATATTATAAAAAAAAAAAAAAGGGGGGAAAAAAAAAAAGAAGAATATTTTTAATTTTATAAAGCTCTGCAAATATGCCCTTGTACAAGACTTGGCTACGTAAATTAAAATATGTCAATCCATTGATTATGGATATAAAACATGGTCTCAAAGAAGCACATATCTGTGTTGAGTTTGCACATCACTTGGTAGCGTTTTCAGAGAGAGTGGGACAATTAAAACAAGACTTGTTAAAACAGACAGCAATTATTTAGCATGAAACAGATACAAAATGCATCTTTGGAGATTTTGTATGTTTGGCATAAATTACTTTTAGAAGAGAAACAATTTCAAACTGCCAGATTGAACAACATAAATAACCTGTGAGGTTAAAACACGTAACAATTTTTAATTGACTTTAAAATTATAGTTTCTTCAGCACTTTCATTATGTGCAGTTGACTGATGGACCTGAATATGCCATTTCAGAATCACAGTTTTGCAGTAAGGATCAAGAGAATTTTAATGCAGCCAAGATTATTATCAATACAATAGTGTCATTGATTAAGCAAAATTATCTAAAAGCTATCTTCAAAACTTACATATGAGGAGATGCTGAAAAGTTCTCAACCTGATCAAAAAAGGGATTCCAAAATAAAATTGTTTGGTCATTTGTAAGATTTTGAGGAGTCAGACCAAATACCTTTTGGTACTCCCTCACCCACAGTCACTAATGTTTTTGATATCTACATGGGTCAGGTAGCATAATAGCAGAGCTGTGTTTTATTATATATATATATATATATATATATATATATATATATATATATATATATATATATGAACTAAGTCTGACAATTATTTTAATACATGTTATTTTTTTATAGATACAATTATTTAAGTAAATTCTGTTTATAATAAACAGTATTAATTACATTTACTGGTCTGAGAAATTTCGTAGAAAATGTGCCCTTCATTCAGGCCGGTAAATGTAATTACTACTGCTTATTATAAACAGAGCATTTACTTAAATAACAGTACCTATAAAAATAATATATAAACAGAAAATATATTAAAATAATTGTCGAACTTAGTCCATTTCATAATATATGCTGTCATTTGTTTACGTTAAAATACGCTTCAAGCAGACTCAATCATTTGAGAAAGATTGTGGGAAATTTGTTTGTTTAAAAACAGTATTTGACTTTGCTAACCAGACACTTCCTCTGTAGCTAAATAATATAACATGTCAGGCCAAATGACAGTTCCATGTAGGATACAGGTTCAATTCCTGTTGGAGAACACACATATATATGACAAAAGGAAAACTTTGCTGAAAACTTTTGTTCTCTGAGGGACTTTATCAAGGTAAATGCAAGGATTTTATTTTGTAAAAAGTATTTATAGACAAGAGCAAGAAATGTTTATTTACATTTTTTTTTTTTAATTTAAGAAACTCAAATATTCATCAGGTTAGCTGAAAAATATAGCTTTAATTATAGAGGATGCTAAGTGACATAATGTCTGATAAAACGTAAATGGGTAGATGTTCTTGAAATTTTTTTATGCAAATTAATATTTAAATTATTTTAGTTTGGAATTAATTTATGTGTTATATATTTTAAATAAGATGAAGTTATAAATTTAACCATTTTCTTTTAATTTTTTTAAAAATTTTTATAGTCATGTATGTTGACTTGGGAAAGTAGTAATTCATTCAGGAATGAAGATATTTGAAAAAATTAAGGGTACAGATTTATATTTTGATAAGATTCCTTCAAAGTAAGTTACTCTTTTGGTAAGTATGGCATACTTTGGGTCAAAGTTGTGGTTAAATTTATTCCTATGTATAGCTAATGCATTTGATAAATTGTTGTGTATAAGATACCTTTTGTGTTCATAGATACATATTTTTAATTTCTGCAAGTTTCACCAATGTATTGTGAGAAGCAATATATATATATATATATATATATATATATATGGAAATAAAGATTACTTACATTCACCAAGCCTGATTTCTTCAAGGAGAGCACTGCGATCTTGTCCTGGTGCTGGTTTGGGTATTTCTTCAACTTTGCCAGCTGATCCCAAAGAGGTGGTTGTCAATGAACTGGTGGTCGATGATATAGACACAGCATCCGGTTGGGTGACAACAGCTAAGTTTGAACTTTGTGTTCCTATTGGTAGTGGTGGTGGTGGGGGAGGTGGTGGTGGCGGAGGTGGAGTTGGAGCAGTTGGGATGTTTGTAGTTTCGATGGGAGGCGGAGGAGAAGGTGGAGGTGGCATAGAGTCCAAACTGACTGGGGTACCAGAAGAATGGGTACTTTCGGCGGTGAGGGGGGCAAGGGGAACTCGGCACTGTCAGGAGTCCGGTTCTGGTTGCCATAAGCTTGCTGACGGCTTGGTGAATCACTGCTCCGGATTGGTGAACCACTGCTTCCGTCATAGTCGTGTACCTTTTGGGCCACGTGTTTGGGAGTGACGTCAGGGCTTCCCGTGTAGCTGTCGGACACGTCCTCAATCTGATCAGGCGGAAGTGGTGGCGGAGGAAGACTCTCTCTGACAACTGGACTGTTTCTCATGGGCTCGTGCTTGGGTGTACCTGGCAATGAGGGAGGATCTGGGGGTGGCCTGGATGGTCTAGCACTGTTCTGGTTGAGAGCACGTGCAATAGATCTTCCATGGGACCCCACAGCGTGGGAAGGAGACATCTGATTGCCCTGCATGTATTGTGCATTGTTTCGGTTTGGAAGCCCAGCAGCATGTTCAGGAGTCATATTCTCTGCAGGAGTGTGGTTCATCATTGAATAGGGTCCATTGATCTGGCTAGGGTAACCGTTCGGAATGACATCAGGATTGGTCATATCATAAGACATTTCTGGAATGCCAGTGCTACCAGTTGGGGTAGATACAATCTCAAGACTATCTGGTCGCTGCTGTTGCTGCTGTTGTTGTTGTTGTTGGTGTTGTTGCTGCTGCTGTGGGTGGGGTTGTCCCTTACGCTGATGGACCTTACCATGGACAGGCCCATGGATATTAGGAGTTTGATAATCACTAAATTCTACACCTAATGCCATTTTCTGATATTCGTCTTTCTTTGTTTTCACCGGGCGGATGGGCCGGTCTCCCTGAATTTTGGGGCGCTGAAAAAAGAAAGAGAGAAAGAAAAATTATTTCAGTCATTTGAAAAATAATTATAAAGTTATATATTAATTATTTTCCTAGCCAAAAAATTTTTTTCATATCATTCAAAAATAATTTTTCCATCCAATGAAATGTAATCCAAACTTAATTTTGCTTTAATATATATTCTTGGCAGTTATGGCTAACTTGCAATATTAAAAGCTTTAAAAAAAAGAAAAGAAAAGAAAAAAAGTGTTAATTTCAAACAAAAAGAAATTTTTAAAATAATATAAAAGAATATGCCTAAGCTTTTTGCATCCAAAGCACTTTTGAAAATACATTAAAACAAAATAATTTATAGAACAAGAACCAGAACTCATATTAGCTGTTACTGGTTAAGTACTTGAATCTCATTCTTTACAGGCGAAAAACAACAACAAAAATCATTTTAATTGTAGGTCTACAGAGAATTAACCATAAAAGATTATCTGGTTTCCCTAACTTTTCTGTGATATATAAACTAGTGCCAAGCAGGAAAACATTTAAGTATTTCAAAACACTACCCATTAAAAAAAAAAAAAAATAAAAATAATGCTGCTTCAAAAAGATTTAAAATGTTGATCACTTTCTCATAATAAAAGGTAGTTTTATCATTTGAAGAAAAATGGAGTTTAATCTCTTGACCAGATAGTGAAACACTAGTTCAGCATGAACAGACAAATGATATCACAGGGACAAAAATAACACAATCAACATATCAACCAAACAATGGACACTTGATGGTGGACCAGAGTACTTGGTTGAAACTTTGTATCTATAATTGTTAAATAATAGTTTAACAGACTTATTTTTTAGTGAAGTGTATTTCTGCTCTGACTTCCTCAATTTGACCTTAGGGGTCAGATACAAGACAAAATAAAAGATGTTGATTTTGATTGGCTGAATTAGTGTAGGAATGACAGATATAGAGACGGTTTTTGGGGAGTTGAGTTTTACACGGCAAACAATATAGACATGTTCCATTCATCTGGGAAACAGCTTCCCAGTAAAGCGAGAGAGTGACCCCAGTACCTAGTTAGAAATGTATATGTCAACATTAATAAAATAGCTAAATTTAAAATTCCTTTTGTTGAAGTTCTTTTATCTTCAAACCACAATGACTAGTGATCACCGACAGAGAAAAAAAATACAACATTGTATTAATTGGTGCAGTGAACAAGAGACCCCCAGCATGTGGGGGCTATACAACTATGTCAACCAAGATGAGAAAAATTGTTTGAAATAATATAAATATATTGACAATTATGCATCTTAGAAATGAAATACTAAAAAAAAAAAAAAAAAAAAAAATCAATGTCTAGCAGCAGTCAGAGAACTTTCTTGCTTAGGTTGAGAACTAATACATTGTTTCTAAATCTGGTTTTGAATAATTAATTTACCTGAACACTATCAGTATACAAGACAAATTCAATAATACATGAGAATGATTCCAAGAAAAAAAGCCTTAGAATGACATCAGTAAATTGACTGTAAAGATTTTGAGATATTACAAAGGCATGCTGAAAAGTTATCAGCCCAACCTATTAAGAGACTCTTAACAACCTATAAGATGTTTCTACTAAAATACACTCTTGTATACTATAAGGATTTGAAGAAATTAAAAAAAATGTAAGCTTTTCACAATAGTTGCATCTAGTAACAGAATTTTATAAAACTTTGAGGAAATAAAATTCTATAATGAATCAATTATCAATCAATTAATCAATATAACATAGAAATGTCATCATGACCTGTTATTAAACTTTCATTATCACTATCATTGAAGTTACTGAAATCACAGATGTGCACAGATGACACTGAAATATCTGTGAGTATTGTCCCAAATTTCATTATTTCTTTTGTCCAATGAATAAACTGGCTTAATTCAGAATCACATTCACTTCTGAAATTCCCCATTTTCTCATACCATTACAGTTGAAAAAGGTCCTTAAAATGTCACAAGTTCAGGTAAAAATTTAAAAATTAAGTCACATGATGCAGCCACTAATGGAATTGTTTTATAAACCAATCTCCTTTATTAAAGAGTGCAAAAAAATCTCAAATGGCTGGCTTAACGAAGTATACACACTACATTTTTTGTGCAAAGTTGTGCAATATGAGATGCTAAGATCTAAAGAGAAAAAAAGAAAAAGAAGGAAAACCCTAATGTTTAGTCATTTGGTCAGATTTTAGAAAATGGGTTAGACTGAGAACTTTCAGCATCCTCTTCTCTACACAAATTTAGTAAAATATCAATTATTCAACTGAAACTGTCAGGTAGTATTATGTTTGAATAACTGATTAGTTAAAAAAAAGAAAGCCATAGCAAACACATGAAAAAGCAGGTTTAAAGGATAAACTCTCATAACTTAAATCAGGCCATGTTTGTTGCTGCTAGCCAATTTAATATCTTATAAAAAGGTGTGTAGTTTAACTCGGTATAATTTTTACCAAGATATTTTACAAGTCAAAAGTGCATCGACTTGATGATAGATGCTAGGTTCATGCAAACAAAAGTTCACTGAGATCGTGTTTGGTCAATTTGTTTTTTTTTTTTGTCTTAAAATTATTCAATAGAAAGTTCAGGTCATTTGTTTGCTTCCCTTTCACAGGCATGAGAAAGACAATAAACCAATCAGGAAACACCAATTGTCAACAGACTTGTACTCTTAAAGTTGTAAAATGAAATATGTTCCACTGAAATCACAAATATAAAAAATAGCCATTGTCTATTTCTTAATTCACATATAATAAATAGGAATCCATGGAGAACCATATTCACCTACATTGTGAAGGAACATGGCATTAAGAAAAAAAATTTAAATATAGTCTGTAAACAAAGATTAAATGTGTTAAATATTAAATTTTTAAAACATGTAATAAAATGAATGAATTTTATTTTATTTTATTATATGTGACATAACCTAAGTACAATACAGAGTGACTGTTGGTAACTAGGACAATACCAAGAGAGAGAAGCCAACACATAAGTGGATGATTGTAAATGCCAATAAACTTTGTACATTTCTGTTGCATAGCAGGCTATAGTTTGCATAAATTACTAGTAGAGTAAAACACCTGTGTCAATAACATGACAGCCTCCTTGAATACCTACACCCATTACAGTCTTATTTATTAAGCACATATTGAAAATATACGTGGTAAAGCAATTGAGTATTATTGCTGAGAAGTGTGTCAATTTGAACCATGAAAATCTGCTTTGACAGTTACTTATCTTTTCCTAATGAATATCAACTTACATCAAGTTCTGCATCCATTACAAAGACTCATATAATTTTCTGATACACCAATACCTAAATAAGTAGTATGACTATTTCTTACTTTAATAAATTAGCTTTTAGTCAATGAGAGTTATTTGGAAACCCCGAACACTACCACCACATTTATACACAGGTTTCAGACAATATCAGTCAGGTACACTGTGACCTCTAAGTTTGGCTTTTATGATGCCAGCCATGCAGGAGAAATCAGACTTCTAGCAGCTTCCAGATTGAAGAGAATTCTTGTAGGGTGTGTCAAGAACTGAGCTCAACTACAATATTAGCAGCTCTTGCAAAAGACATTTCAGATGCCCATCATTTGGTGGCAAGGCACACCTTTGGAAGCTATCTCAGGTTCTTAAAGTATTAAACAAAATGCGAACTATCAAATAGTCAAGCAGAAAGTGAGGAATTTTGAAAACATTAACACAGATGTAAACAGATCAAATTTACCACATAACAAGCTTATTAATATAGCCACTCCTATGAAGAAAAAATATCTTGAAAAAATAAATATTATATATAGGATTTACTTGCGTGTCAAGTAAGAGAGGAAAAAAAAACCACCATGCTATCATTATACCAGTAACAGGAAAATAACACTTTTTCAGGGCATACTTGATGTTATAGAAATCCTTAAACCAAACTATTAAATTGTTGAAAAAGAATTATTTCAAGTAGTTTTATCAGGTTTTGAACAATGTATTCTTGGACTGTTCACATATGAGAATTTTCCTTTGTTTCTATGGATGGTTACAGATCTAGATATCAAAACCTTCATGCAAATAGAAAATAAACAGATTGCTTCAGTCATTAGGAATATTTCATTTCTAAGCTGAAATGCATCTATAAAAAGAGAAAAATCAATCTAACTTTTTTTTTCTTTTAATCATTTCACCTCCAAGCAAGGTGATAATGCCACTAAGACACAAGAGATCACTGAGAGTGAAAGAAAATAATAGGGAGGAGAAAGGACAATAAAAGAACAGGAATTAAGGAAAAAGATAATGATTGATCTTGTATTTAAATTTTTGAAGGCCAAAGTTTACTGGAAAGCAAAATGATGGGAGAGAGTTCTATATGTAAGAAGTGCTAGAGGAGAAACTATTAAAACAGAACTTATGGTTACATCTAGCTATTTCAACAATAAAATGATGAGATCTAGCTGCCAATCTAGTACTACAATTCATAAAATATAGGAAAGCTCATTAGAACAATTGCCATAAAAAATATTTATAGAAAACCTACAGAGAAGCCATGTAACAGCTGTGGTAAAATGATTGAATCAGATATGCCAGGTCAGAAGTGATAACTTTACAGATTTTTCTTTGGATATTGTTAAGAATCTCAAAGTAGTAGGAATACTAAACTAAAATGTGTCAGCAATATACAATGCAGAGATGAATGGTAGATTTATATATATGTAAGATGGATTCTGTTAAGAGAAATTGTCTGGTGGGACAGTGAACCAACTTTCCATCAAACAGACCTTGCAATAAACTATAAACAAGATTTGTCTGAAATTCTAAAATGAGCTATCATTATTCCACAAGATATTCATACTAATATCCTCATCTTTTTATCACTGCCATTTGACCAGTGGATATCTTAGTCTTCGAAATTGTCTAAAACAATAAAGATGAAGTTATTAGTCTGCATATCTTGTGGAATAATGAGAACTCATTTCAGACAAAATCTCA